ACATCATCAGTGACAATTAAAGCGTCGTATCTCCTCGCAAGTCTGATCAAGGCTTGACGATGGTGTAGGCTCATAATACGGCCACTGGGATTGGAGAAGGTTGGTACGGCATATATGACGTGTTTGTAGATTTTCCTCCATGGCTTTGGTGTCTTGATTTTGGGATGATTGTTCTCCTCGATCTGTGCTCGTTCCTCACTTTCTTGTAGGCCGCGTTCGAGATAGTCAAGGTCAATCCCGTCCTCGTCTTCTGGAACGGCCTTCATCCTAGCATCGAAGCCAGAGTCCGCAAAGATTCTGCACGCCAAGTAGTAGGTTGGAGCGACCATCCACACGTTACGGGTATAGATAGGATCCGTGAAGGTTTGCAGTATGCATGCCAGATTCTGGGAAGCGCCTCCGCTGATGCATATTCTCGGACTCGAGATCGGGTTCTTGGGTCGGTAGAATTCGTTCAGCCACTTGGCAATTTCTTCTCTCAACGGTTGGTAACCTTCATCTGGTGCATAGCCCAAGACATCCGTGTTATCAGGGTTCGAGAGAATTTGGCTAGATGCCTCGTCAAGCTGGTGTGGAGGTAACAATGTTGGATTTGGCCACCCTGTCAAAAGATCAATCGACCTTCCCATCGGGGGACGATTTTGAGAAGTTTTCCTGGTCATTTTAACTAGAAATAATGTGCCGTATCATGCTCCGGCGGATGAGGGCGATGTGGTCTCCTGGGCGATGTATAAAGTGATTGGACTAGTATTTGTTTGTTTCACAGCCACCCTAAGTATCACGCATTATTGCACATTGAAGCAGGCGAAGCTCTTACGCTGAAAAATTGTGATGTTGTTCTTGGATCTTGGGTGTGTTCGGGACCTACCACGATAGACTTCGCATTACTCCGTACAGTAGTGGCATTTAAGCATTGTGGGGAGTAGAAGCCGCCTAGACTCGTTCCTGCCTTAGGGGACATTACCTTATTTGAGGCAAGCCTAACCAAATAAACCCAAGACGTCAGTGTGGAGGACAGGACAAAAGAAGAGTTTTTGTTGATAAGGGACGTGGACGTAGGTGTTGCTTCTCCGTGCTTGTCTCAAAACTCTCTTGTTACCAATACGTACTGGTCTGCATCTCCAGCATCAAATGCATTGAATATTTATGGCATCCATGCGCTGCATACCTTTGCCAGTGACAGCGAATTTCATAGGTAAGCGACTGCTGACCTCACTAATGCTAGGTATGCCCTGCAAAAAGCGTCATCCCAAGGGCAGGCCCCGACCCGCTGCGCTGCGCTGCGCTGCACTGCGAATCACACGATCTCACAACACGACTCGATTCAACAATACAATCCCCAGTGTCTTTTTGGCCCCGCGTTGTCACTTCACTTTGCGAGCCTCACCAGGCGTGCAGTATTTTCTGGCCTGATTTCGACTCATTCGTGACCTATCCTGCGATTTTGCATGCGCCTTGGCCGAACAATTGCGTGTGAAACAGAATGGTGACACTGCAGAGACGAAGTCAGCGCTTGGGACCCAAGACAGAAACTGTCTTTATATTACCTCGTGCGACGTGAAGCGAGACTACCGTGCCGAAGAAGAAGACAGCTACATAACTTTGTGAATGCTAATGAGGAAGGCACTGGTCCTGTAGGAGCGTTGTAGACACAATGGCAAGAAGACTGTCAGCCTTATTGTCGCTCTCACGCGACGACAAGGACCAGCACTCCGAAACCTCGGGGCCTCCAGATGCAGGCTCTCGCGAATACGCACAATCGCCCGCTACAGCAACCGGGCCCAATAAACTGCACAAACACAATATTCCAGCCCCTTTTGAAGGATACAACGATGGAAATCCTCCTCTAGCACCACCTACTCTTTCACACAATGGGCTGTACCGACCGCCGAGCAGTCAACGATCGGATAGTCGGCCCGGCAGCCAGGCGGACAGTCGAGCGGGCAGTCGAGCAGGCAGTCGAGCGGGAAGTCGAGCCAGTAGCCCTCCTAGTCTGAACCTGGTTCGAAGTCGAGATGACAGCAGGAGTCGTCCTCAGACGCCTATCGTTTCGGTACCACCAGGTGCCATGTCTATTGCTCGGCCAGTCACACCGACATCCATAAAAAGCAAAAAGAAGAGTTGGATATCTACAAGATCAGACCGACAGAGTTATGACAGTCAGGCGCAGGGATACGGGCAGCAGGCCTGGATTGCTGGACTTCGAGACTATGTCGGTTATGATGTGACGCCACTTTTGTATGGCGAAAAGGTATAGACATGTTTCGACGAGAAGAAGAATCTTACTAAAGAATGACTTCTAGGTACCCGAGCTTTGGAACGATCAAGGTGATACCATCGTCTACCTTTACCCACCCTCTTCGGGGAAAGGTCCATGTTTCCGTGTCGACTCAGCTCTGTTGACAGATTCAAGGGCGCTCATCAACCTGCGAATGCAGTCACCATCATCTGCAGTCGACAAAGATAGTGATATGCAGGAACTACAGCATGCTCTTGCTGAAATCACCTTGCCCTCGAACCAGCTGCGGCCTCCTTCGCAGGCAAGCTCCGCCTTTCAGCCGTCCATCAACTTTTCAGCACCAAGTGTTGCCTCTGTCGTAGGCGAGCAAAAGCATGTGTATTTGCCTCTTGGCTTCGATGAAGACCTGTCCTATCCGGGCTCTGAACCTCAGGGCAATGATTTCGAGTTGATCATGCTGTATCGGAACTTTTTCGCATTTCTTGCTGGTGGCGCGTTGGTCGCAACGCCGAGACAGGTCACACTATTCTCCGTCTTTATGGGAATTAGCACGATTCTGAAAAGATTTTCATTCACGGACGCTGACGGCTCGACGTTCGGGGAGGTGCCGACCACCAGTTTTGCGCGATATTGCGACGAGCTGAGATTATCAGACGTGCGTTCCAGCCGGGAAAAGACGATCGAAGCTATCGTATTGGGTGAGCAGCTCAAGTCGTGGGTGCTCTACAATGAAGGCTTTACCCATGCTTTGGGTAGATTGGCCGACATCAAGGCTATGAAGAGTTCCAAGTATGGGAAGATATCACCAATCACCATGAATCGATTGGAGCGGGCACAGCTCGATCTCGAACAGAGACTATTGACCGTGAGAGGCAAGCTCGAAGATTTTGAGTTTCCTTCCATGTTTGCAGGCATTGCGGACTCTCAGAGTTCGAGCCGGGCCTCTCGATTCAAAGAGTGGAAAGCTGCTTTCCTAGATGTCCGAAAATTCACCATTGCTCACTATCGGCGCAAGTACGGGTCCTGGCCGCCGAAGGCATCATCGAAGAAGAACAACTTTGAGGAGAGCGGTCTAAACAGACTCTTGCTTCGCGAAGTCTACAAAGACTTTACCGACTTGTATGATGTTCTTGTTGATCGAAGTTCTCTGACAACAAGAACCGTGGAGATGGCTGCAATGCCTGACAGCTCCGACACAAGTGACATGGAGTTTATACACCACGCGATCCGTCGCATTGAAAGCGAGTACGACCGAGCAACACCGCCTGTGATGCCACCGATTCCATTTGACACACCACAACTCCCACAGTTTTCCAACAGTTTCAACAGGGACCATGTGATGGGTCCGGATTCAGCAATGTTGCAAAGCAAGAAATTGAGGGAGAATGAAGTCAATGAGGTGTTGCTGGGCTCCTACAACCGCGATTCAATCAATGCAAGCACGTGGATTCAAGACTTTTTCAACTATGAGCGTCGCTCGGGTGGCGGCAAAACCCTGGACCAAGTTATTGATGCCCGATGTGGACACTGGCTGTTTATGTATGCGGTACTGCAAGCTCTTCCTATGACTGTTGTCGATGCCAGAGATCTCAAGCACACAGCTGGCGTGGAGTATTTCTTATGTGTTGCTCCAAGAGGAGGAAGACCATGGGTGAAGGAAGATCAATCGACGTCGAGGGCGTGGTACAACGTTGCTAGTGGCGGCGGTGTGGTCAGCTTACCAGCGGACTTGATTGACCATAGTGTGGAAGGCATCTATCGACGAAGCCATTGCTGGACGGTAGCGACCAGGTGGGCAGAGGGCCTTCCAGGGCATACAGCTGCTTTACAGCCACAGCACCTTCAAAGTGGCAGATCGCCATACCTCAATCCTCAGCAACCGCCACATCTGGATCCAAGCACCTCACCACTCATGAAACCACTCTCGCCGGCCAGTTCGAATGAGTTACGAAGTGTCAACAGTCGGGACAGGAGTTCGGTAAATCTTGGATTGGAAGCAATGGAAGCACCACCTCCCCAGGTGCGATCACGGCCCAAGTCAAACCCAAACTACAATCCCAACCTCACATTTGACTCGATTTTGGGTGGTAGCGAGGATCCGAAGGCAAGAGGAAAGAGGGGCAAAAAATGAAAGTGGCTTTCATGATGATGTTGGATTTTTGCATTGCGAGGATTGGTATTGCATAGCGGGCACAAAACGGGCTCGGGGAAGGAGTTTGTCGTGGTCTGGTGAAGGGGTTTAAAGGTTGAGTCCAGTTGCTTATTATGTATCGGACGTTCATTGCGTGCTTCTATTGTGACACACGCAGGGTAAAAGCAGGGTAAAGAGGCGAGCACAGTTTCTCAGACGACTTTAAACGACTTCAAGGTGTCTGAAATGTCCTTCTCAAACTAGGGACCAACGTAGTATCGATGCTGTAGTGCTGACAGTCAATCGAATGTTTCTAACCACTCTTCACCAAATAGGTTGATTGTCAACTCGTCCGTACATTACCACTGGAAGAAGTATGTCTCATGCCAAATAATGCGAAGATCACAGTTAAAGCTCGGGAAAGAAACCTATGCCTATAGGTAAGCTTGACCGGGGAATCCCAAGACGTTAGCACTGTAACCATAATGCACGCAGGAGATCAACTCTTTCATATTGTTATAATACTTCCTGCTACCTGGGTATGTACCTAAGGTATCCCTTGTGCAGTGGTCAAGATCGCAGCTCAATGCCTTGGCATGCAGAACGGAAGCAAAAAGAAAAAAAGAACAATGCCTCCAACAAGAATTGAACTTGTGATCTTCGCATTTTATGGCATAAGGAAGTATTTTCCAGCGGTACAAGTGCGACTGACAATCGTTTAGTAAAGACTCAAAGTCCGGCTATAGATGTATCATACCGCGTTACCACTGCGCCATAGAGGCATCAGGACGTGAGTGTGAACACTCACGGAAGATTTGCAGCATTTTTTTCGTACATTAGCCCTATGACAATCAATTATTTCCGGGCCAGGGTCGGGTTAGAATGACAAACTCACAGTGGATGGAAGCCGAACGATTAGGTAAGAATAATCGAAGACCACCTAGAGCTCGGTTAAGTGGCCACCTAAAGCCTGGTCAAAGCTTTACCTGCAGGAAAGAACCTTCAAAAGACCTAAAGTTGCCGTCCGCTCGTGCCCCTTATGCTTGTGATAAGTAATGACGCAGAAGTGCGGAGTTGGATGCAGCATTTACATGTATTCATGGGCCACGATCTCTACCATCGCCGTCAAGGTCTTACCCTTTCTCGCTTTTCAAAGACGAGGGCACAAGGTTGAGTGTCCCCTCAATTCCATTCCTGTCGCAAGTGACTAGTCCGACGCTGGTTATCCATCCAAGATGGCCGCCAGCGACGACGGCACCGTCGAGAAGCCCATCAACAGAGAACCAGATGTCAATCAATTGGTACAAAGGTAGGGCTTTTATGATGAAGATGAACACCTGAGCATAGAGGCCGACCATGCCTAGCGTCGTTCAACCCCATTGACTTGCCCGCAAATATTGTGTGACAGACTGACGAGTTGTGATATGCAGCATTTTGACGCCGTCTAAATCTCAATCCTCCAAAGCACCAGGCGCCTCACATTCAGGCGAGGAGGTGGCATACGACCGCAACCATGGGCCAATACAACACATTGACCCATCACAGCACAGATTAACAATAAAGTCCGAGGTGCCCATCAATGTGGATGTGTCTGCTGTATTGTCCGTGGACGACCTCAAGACCAAATTCCGCCAACATACCGTTCAATGCGCGCTGCAGTGCGCGGGAAACCGCCGGCACGAGATGCGCAGTCGTGTCAAGGAAGTCAGTGGTATCGATTGGGGAGACGGTGCTGTGATGAACGCTGAATGGACGGGTCCTTTGGTACGGGATGTGTTGATTCATGCTGGCCTTGGTCAGCAGAATCACAGCACGGGGTATGAGGGACTGCATGTCCAGATGGAGTGTAATGCTACGAAAGTCCAGGATGATGAGTGGTATGGGTCCAGTGTGCCGCTTAGTGTGGTTATGGATGAAGACAGGGAGGTTGTTCTTGCGTTGGAGGTGAGTGGCCTACTGCCTCGATTATACCTCGTGTCCGGTGTGTACCTACTCTGTGTGGCTACTGACGTTCCGTGCCACGATAGATGAACGGTGCCCCTCTCCCCGACCGACATGGCGCTCCCGTCCGGTCAGTCATCCCCGGCATAATAGGCGCACGATCAGTGAAATGGCTTGACACGATTGTCCTCTCCGGCCGCGAATCGCAAAACCACTACCAACAGCACGATTACAAGGTCCTGCCACCTGAAGCGACATCTCCTGAAAAGGCAGAAGAAATGGGTCTGTGGGATAAGACTCCAGCAATGCAAGATAACCCGATCAACTCGGTGGTAGCTATTCCCGGGGAGGACGGAGACACACTTGTCCGCCGGGATGACGGCAAAGTGAGGATCGCGGGGTATGCGATTCCCAAGGGCAAGGATGGACCTGTCGTTAAAGTGCAGGTCAGTATCGATTGTGGGCGGAACTGGTATGATGTGACGATCATGGACGGTGGGGATGAGAATACTACGCACCCAACGAATAGGGGAAAACCGAGAGGGAAGTTCAGTTGGGTGCTATGGGAGGTGTATGTTCCTGCTGAACCGACCGAGGGCGTGGATATTTGGAGCAAGGCTACGGATCTGGGAGGGAACACTATGAGTGAGGTGAAGGGGACGTGGAATTTGAGAGGTGTTGGGTATAATGCTGTTGAAGGGAGGGTTGGGATCAAGATTGTTTGAGGACAATCATTACCTGTTGCCTATGTTGGCTTCTTGCGCTAATGTACGCCATGGGACGAGGAGCAGCCTGATTATGAGACCACGAAAATTGACAGCTAGGATAAGGGGAACATATTGCTACGATAGTAAAAAGCCAGAACGAGACGTGACGATCTTGGAACAAATTGCATGCATGATCGACTTCTGAATTGGATCCATTCTAGGAATATTGATGGCCATGCTCGTTAGATCAACTGCCTCCCACAGCCACAACGCTAGATCTCCTCGTCACGGCCGTTCCATTGTTCTCGACAGCCCCGACCTGCACAAAAGCAGCGCCTTGGGGGACGACAAACTCGGTTTCGAACCCAGTCTTGCTGGCCTGACCGGTTGCCGTCAACGTAGTGTTCGTTGACCCGGTGTACACGATATACTTTGTCACATCGGTGGCACCGTTCCAGCTCACGTAGCCTCTCCATGTCGACGATCCCGCACAGTGCGTCAATGTGTCATTTGAGGATGCCTGCAAAACGACGAGGCTCGGCTTTGTAGCAGGGGTGGCATGCCACACCTGCTTGTACGCGCGGTAGCTTGACACGAGGTCGCCGGATCCAAACGTTGCGCTCCAGCGTACTTGACCCTCAGTGCCGTTCGTGCTGTTTGTAAAAGGCCCGTACTCGGCTATGACTGCGTTGGAGCCGTAGCCGAGGAATTTGTTGCCATTAGGCAGGTACTGAAAGGACCCTTGAGACCAGGCATCGACAGGGAATGTGTGGGTTGGAAAAGTTAGTCACCAGCACTGGCGGAGACGAGGCGTTGGGGGGGAGAGTGAGAAGCAGTGATAAGCACGTGCTGGGTTTGGCATTGACTTGGCCCGTTTCGTCGTTGTTGTTGGCAAACCATGAGACCAGAGCGTTGGTTGAGTTGAGTTGTTGCACACGTGCGAAGTGCTGCCAGGACTAGAGGAATAGTTTAGCATGTAAGAATGCTAGAAGGGGTACTTGACTTACAAACGTGCCGCCTTCAGGTAGCGTGCCGAAATCTCCTCCAGTCTTACCGTTGATTCCCCACAGAATGTCACCCTTGGGGTTGACGAGGAAGGTGCTCCACAAATGACGGCTATTGATCAGGTAATTCTCTCCGACTAGTTCAATGGAATTGATGTGGAAGAAGTCATATGGGTTGCTCTGATTCAGACCAGCGCCGCTCAGAAGGTAGTTGCTTTGATTGATCTGGAGATGAGCGAGTGGGCTCCAAGAGAAGAGTACTTCTCCTGTGGTTATGTTGACCTCGACGGCTAGAGAGTCGAGTACCCAGCCATTTTTCGGTCCGCCAACACTGGTTAGATCCGCTGGCGTGGTGTTATATGCAGTGACGAGCATGGTGTTTCTGGAAGTGATAAGAGACTCGTGAATATCCGCAACACAATTGGCTGTGACATTCGGCGGCAAGTTAAAGCTGAGTTTTGGGCAAACTGTGTATAGCTGCGTGTAGTTGGAGTCGAGGACTACGACCTCGCCAAAGCCATGACCTACGATTTGCGCGGTACCAGCTGTGCCTTGTCCGGACCAGTATGTGAGAACCTGAGACCCGTTGAAGGTTTGGACGCGTAGATTTGCAGCTTGACTCGTTGCAACGGGTCCATTCCATACTAGATCTCCGGTGTCGGTCATGATGAGTGGTGCTTGCTCCTTTGCTGCTGGGACGCTGGTGCCGTATGCAGAGTCGAAGAAGACAAGGCCGTCAAATAAGGGCTCACCGGTATTGTTGATGGCAAGCACTGGGGGAAGGGCATCGAAAGACTTGTATGTCTGCCATGGCCATAGAGTGCTATTGATACCATTCGTAGTAATTTGAGATGAGGAAGCTGAGCATAGAACGGGCTCTGATACCTGCCGAATAGCTGGAAGCGTTGCTGCCCATGTAAGTGGAAGCAGACTAAGTGAGGCGATGTTGAGGAACCTCATTTTGGCAGATCGTCTATGGACGAGTCAAGCGAATACCTGACCGGCGGCGGCAGCTCTTTATATAGAGCAGATCCGTTCTGGGACATGATGCACGCAGGTACGTAGGTATCTTTGGGGCTGAATCACGCAATCATCATTCCATTCATAGTGAATTGCAGGGATATATAGCTCCGTGAACGAGTTGGAGAATGTCGATCTATTCTAAGGCGTGCTTTTGTGGGGTCTGGAGGTTGAAATTTGACATCATCGAAATGAGGCTGAGGGACGGGAGTACACAATACAATACGGACCTGGCTCTCCATGATCATGGCTACGAGTTAGGTAGTTCATTCTGGTAGTCGGAGTGTAGACGGCCCAAAACTCACCGACCAAGTCAAGTCAGAATTGTGATGTGGTCCGAGGTCAACAACTTGATGACAAGGCTGTATCCTGCAAGGCTGAGTCGGCCAAAATAGGAAGTATTCCCGAGGCAAGCACGAGCCTCACAACATCCTCGATATATATTTACCCACACTCATGACCACTATTCTTCCCTACCAGGCGAGAAAACCTATTGCGTGTTCACGTCGCATCGACACGCTGTCTCTGAAAAGTCCGGCTTATCCACGAACAGGATCATGTCCACGTTAACCTGAAGCGATGCTGCCTTAGTGAACGCCTCGATCCGCTGCGCGCAGCAAGTATTGATTGTACTCCGACCTGCTTCCTCATACTCATTTGTCGATTACCACGATGTCCCGATCGCCGTCACCTCCGCGCAAAGCGGTCATAGATCGTCAAGCTACGGCACCCTTTCTCCTGAACTTCTGCTACAGGTCGTCCGCATTTCACAACCTAGCAGACTTCCCCATACCAACCCCAACAAATCCTCATCCACACCTTCCTGCGCATCTACAAATCTATACATGGATGTCCTGTACACTCCGCGAATTGGCGCACCTGTTAACACAAGCACTTCCCCACGTCCTACCTGATCCCAGCATTGGCACACGATTGAGCTTTAGGCTAGTCTATCCTGATGTCCACGCTAGTCGAGGTGGTGGTGGGAGGCTGGAAAGTGAAGGCAGAGGCCGATATTTGAGTAAAGAGATTGGAAGCGTCGTTGTCTCGGCGCCAGAGGATTCTAACGGCGAGAAAGACGGCACTTTCAGCTTAGAAGGAGAGGATGCG